AGCCAAAATGGTTGGATACCTCAGGCATCTATGACCTTCATTTCTCCATTGTACAGCGCTGGTAATAATGGCCTCCTGCTGAAGGGGGGACTGGGATACCGTGGAAGCACTTGGGTAGCAAGGGAGAGCTCCCTGAGGGAAATTCAGCACTTTGCATGTAATGTAGGCCTTGCAGCAGGAAATGCTGAATAACATCAGAGGCCGAATACTGAATGAGAAAGATGAAAAGAAACGTTTATGTAAAGAGGAAAGGATTGATGGAGGAATCACACCATTAAAAGCTGCATGTCTGTGGTGCAGGGGAGGGCACTTAACCTTCCTTCTGGCCTTCCCTAGCTTTTTGAGTTGTAGTCTTTGAAGTTTTCATTTTTACTTAATGCAAAGAAATGGTTTTGATTTGAAGAGTTTTATGTAATATTACAGGTATTTTGCTACAAAGTAATTTTATTATTGCACAGGAAGAATGTAGAGTTTATCTAGATTTGCTTTTATATATGGGAGTAGAATTTTTGTTTTTCTCTACCAATTGCTAAGAGTGCTGGTGAGCACCAGGCTGGCTTTGCCTGCCTCACGAGGGATAGTTACATTTATTACTAGCCCATGGTGGACAAGGTGCACAGTGGAATTGCACACAGCCTAAAGGTTAAGGCAGTAAGCCAAGCTGAAAAGTATTTTAAACATTCTTAGGAAAAAAAAAAACGAGTCTTCTGAGTTAGTTGCAGTAGCTAAAACACAAAAAGGTAATTTAATGAATTGTAAAGGTTACCTGCCTTGTATCATTTTGTTATACTGAAAGATCTGTTGATTTTGTATTAAATTGATAATATGGATTTTAAAGTTAGAAATGTTATATAGTAACATAAAGGCAATTTCCTTTTTTGACAAGGTAACCCACCTAGTTGATCAGGGGAAAGCAGTGGATGCAACCTTTTTGGATTTCAATAAGGCTTTTGATACCATCTGTCACAGGATCCTTCTGGATAAATGTCCAGTCCATGGCTGGATAAACATGTCCTGGGAAGGGTGAGAAGCTGGCTCATGGCACAAAGGGTTACAGTGGGATGTAAATGGGATGACATCAGACTGGTGACCTGTCACTAGAGGGGTTCTGCAGGGCTGCATCCACAGCCCTGTGCTCTTCCAAGTCTTCATAAATTACCTGGATGTAGGAATGGAAAGAATACAGAGATGCTGGCAGGTGATATGAAACTGAGAGGAGCTGCTGACTCCCCAGAAGCCAGGGAGGCCCTGCAGAGAGACACTGACAAATAGGAGAGATGAACAATCACCAACCATATGAAGTGTAACAAGGACTAGTGCCCAGATTCTCCATCTGGGTGGGACAACCCTGGATGGCTGTGCAGACCGGGGAATGAGAGGCTGGAAAGCAGTGCCACAGAAAAGGACCTGGCGGTCCTGGTCAGCAGAAAGTTGAACATGAGGCAGCAGTGCCCTGACAGCCAGGAGGGCCAACCCTGTCCTGGGGGACATCAGACACAGCATCACCAGCCTGGTAAGGGAGGGGATTGTCCTGCTCTGCTCTGCACTGGGGCAGCCTCAGCTCGATGCTGGGGGCAGTTCTGGGCACCATAATATAATAATATAATGCTATTGGAGAGTTCCCAAAGGAGGACTATGAAGATGGTAAAGGGATCCTATGATTCTGAAGGTAGAGGCCATTGATTATGTTTTTGTTAAATGCACAGTTAAAACCAGGCTTCTTAGCCAAGGTTTGGGGAAAAGCTGCACAGGAAGAAATTTCTTAAAAATTATCACCAGGGAACTAAAGAAGGTATGAAGAATGAAAGAAGGTGGGAAGAAAAGCACTTAGGAAGGAAACAAAAATAATTTCTTTATTTTTTTTTTAAATTCTACATTCTCCTTCTTCAATGTATATTTCAATGACAAGAACTCTGTAAAAAGGGCAAAAAATCATGCCTCATGATTCAAGATTCTTCACTTGGGAAAATGTGCTTTTTTTACCTTTTCAGAATACTGCATGTTGTGAATGGTGGTTCATCCCTTGGTACATACATATATACATAGCATGTTCTCAACACTAAACTTAATAGTGTTTCACTGCTAACTTCAGTGTGGCCACCAGGACTTCTCAAGTTTTTTGGAAAAGCCACATTTCCTCAAGTAGGAAGATGAAACTAATAATTATACTGAAAAATCAGAAAATATTTTACCAGCTTTACACCAGTCATGGTGACATTAGAGTTTTTGCATTGTTTAAAAAGTACGTGTGGTAACTACACTGCAGAAAAGTTAAAACAATGCATAGTCTTGTGTATCTTTTATTTCTGCAATCAAAAAAATAAATAAGGATATGGTTAACTTAAGATTAATCAGATGAGATGCTTGATTTCTATTGTTTTACTCGATACTGCTAATACTAGGGTACACATTTTCATTTTAGAAAGAGAAAAATAAACCCCTGAGATACAATAGTGAATCAACTGATGAACCTCTCTAGAAAATCCATGAAGACTTGACTGATTTCATGAAGGATGACAGAACTTCTTTATGAATTTTTTAAATTCTTGTGTTTTCTTATGTAAGACAACCTTTAAAGGAGAAATATCATTGTGCATTAAAGTCTAAAAGGATTTTTTTAAAATAAACTTTGCAAATATTTCCTCTGTAGAGAAATATCCTCTCATAACTGTTTACTCTTTGAGTAGCTGTCTGTAAGTCAGAAGACTGATAAATGCATCACAGATCACTAGGAAATGCTTAAGTGAGGAGATCTTGCAAAGACTGGAGTCCCCTGCTTTTCAGAAATCTCACCATCATCACCTTGCATATAAGGCAGTGAGGAGGAGGGTAGAACCAGAGAAAGAAATCAGCTTTTAAGGTCAAGAAAAAACAAAACAAAACACAAACACAAAAGAAAGGGATATATATTATGTAAACTTACTGATTCCAGGGCTTTGATTTTGATAGGACATTTATCTTTGCAAGTAAAGTTACCAGATTATCTTTTTCAGAAATGAAGGTAAATGTTACAGGCTTAAACCCATATGTAATTAGACACAGAAGTGCTGTGGGTTGCGCTGGGTGATGAGGAGGGATCTTCAAAATGCAGTGCTGGAGGCAGGATAAGAAGATGCAGAATGTTGTGACCCTTACAGTTTTGAAGTTCAGCTTGACAGTGAAACTGGTAACTAAAATGGTGGTGTTCAAGGCTGTTGCCATCATTTAGCTAATGCACAAAACAAAACAAAAAAATAAAAGAAAATCTTTAGATGTAAGTATTACTCTGATAAGTAATTTCCCTCTTTTCTGATGATTTTGGACATGATAGTCAGTTATATTTGAATTGTAGTTGACTGAGTCTTATTTTATCTATTGGTGGAGGAACTTTTGAAGTTTAAATATAATGGAGTTTAGCAATTTTGATTTTATACCAGCAACATAATCAATATTGTCATGGGCATTCCAGTGTCAGATGACACACTGGAATTATTCTTTGTCTTCCCTGATATTTCTAGTACAGGATTATTCTAGATCCTCACGGCTCTAGTGAGGATCTGGTCTATGTGACCTTCTAATTCTCTTTCAAATTTCTGCCTTTTCTCTTGATGAGTTTGTACCCATTTGTTCTTGTGCCAACTGGTACTTCAGTACAAATAGTTCAAACGCCTCCCAGGCATTTACTCCTGATGTATTTATAGGTAACAATCCCTACCAGCACAACTTTCATGCTTTACTCTGCAAAGAGGATCAAATTCTTGTACGCTTCAAATTCTTTGAATTTACTGGATTTATTTCACTTCAAGCAAAACAAAACAAGCAAATAAAAAAACCCCCAAATTGTTAAATTGTTGATTTGCTGAGAACAGGAGGAGGAGATGTCAACTAAGGAGGACTTTCCAAGTTTGGAACAGAAGCCTTGTCTAAGCGTTCTTTGGGCCATGATACTATTGCTAGGTTAATATTTAAGCACTGTGTCTGACAGTTGGCAGCAGTAGAGCTGGTGGGTGGGTTTCCTTCCTGATTAACACTGATACTCTACCTTTAGTGACAAACAGCTGCACTTCAGAGTTCACTGAAGCGCTGGGCACAGAGAGTGAGGATGCACTTGTGGATTATTGAAACTGAGGTCGCTGATTGCTGCCATGCAGTCATGTCTGCAGCAATTTAACAGGTGAACAGTGGGACAGGGAAGAGCCTTTCAGAGGATCCAGAGAACAGTATGCACAGCCCTTGTCTATATAACATGCATTGCTGATCAGCTGGCCACAAAATACTTATGATTCTTTTGACCCATTGTAAAGAAATAAGTGCTGTGTGGTGCTAAAAAATACAACTTCTCACTGTTCACTGTTCCTGTATTCACTGTTTGGTGAATTACATTAACCCATGAAATAATACAGCAAACTAAGATTTGAATTGGGACAAGGAGGGCAGCAGTTTGGTTTGGAGATTTTGATATGCCTGATTATTTTATTCAGTTTCAGTATCTCCCAAATTGAAATTTTTCAATAAAAGGTAGACTAGCCTCTGTCTTTACTTATACATATCCCTACAATCTTTCCATTTGCACACCTCACACATTAAAAGGTAAGTAATAAGATTAAGCTAACACAGCTGCATCAGAAACTGATTCTTAAAATAAAGAAGAAAAAACCCAAGTCCTTTGTACAAATTGTCACACTTGATTTTCACAAATATAGAAATTCTAGTGTGTTTTGCCTTTGTTTAAATATAGTGCTCTTAGCTGTTCCAGTTGTTTCAGTGCTTCTGGATATTACCACAAAGAGTATCACTATAAAGAGGGCAAATTGCAATCATTAAATTTTCATTTGCATATGAAAGTATGGAAAGAGAGAGAGAGATCAGGGGATGCATTCTACATGGCAATATGCTAATTTTTTGTCCTTTTTAGCTTCAGGAATGGAGCTGTCTGTGTGAAGAGGATTCTGCCCAAATATTCGTAGTCTCCAAGCTCGTTTTCCTACAGACTCTGGTGTTACAACTTCATCTCTTTCAGAATGGCTGAGAAAGCTCCACCAGGGATCACCAAAAAGTCTTCAAGGTCCACCCTTTCCCTCCCTCCGGAACCAGTGGAGATCATCAGGAGCAAAGCCTGCTCGCGGAGAGTTAAAATAAATGTTGGTGGACTCAACCATGAAGTGCTGTGGAGGACTTTGGACAGACTTCCAAGGACACGATTAGGAAAGCTCAGAGACTGCAATACCCACGAATCTCTGCTAGAAGTATGTGATGACTATAATCTGAATGAAAATGAGTATTTTTTTGATCGACACCCAGGGGCTTTCACTTCCATTTTGAATTTCTACAGGACAGGGAAACTACATATGATGGAAGAAATGTGTGCTCTCTCTTTTGGACAGGAGCTTGATTACTGGGGGATTGATGAAATATATTTAGAATCTTGCTGCCAGGCAAGATACCATCAAAAGAAGGAGCAAATGAATGAGGAACTGAGGCGAGAGGCAGAGACATTGCGAGAGAGAGAAGGAGAAGAGTTTGATAATACCTGCTGCCCAGAGAAAAGGAAGAAGCTTTGGGACTTGCTGGAGAAACCAAACTCATCTGTTGCAGCAAAGGTAGGATAAACAGGCTTAATACAAAGATAGTAAAAAATGGTTTCATGATCCATGCATTCAACTTGCAGGAATCAACATCCACTAAAATATTTAGAGAAAAGAAGAATCTAAAAATCTACATATCTTTAAGTGAAAACACCCAAATCTCTCCTAAACCCCGCTGAAAGCAGCAGGAGAAACCCTGTTGAGTTCAGTTGTTTTTCGGCAACTACTGTACTTTGCTTTTGCTGTATGTGATGAGAAATATCTGTGTGATTTTCCTAATGGACTCGATATGAAACACTTCAATGAAAATGCAGAGTACATTATCTACTTGTTTGTTAGAAAAGCATTTGTTTATGACAAGCGTCCATTTCAGTATTGCTTGTCCTGTTGCAGGCACTGCATGTGTGTAAGTGTTTGGGAGGCTGTGCTGGATAGGCTACCAAGGAGTCAGCAGCTGCTCTGGCATGATTTTACTATGGCATATTTTCTCTTACACTACATTTTTGCAATCAAGAACTAGAGTGTTTTGTATAAAAATACTAAAATATTAATGCATATATATATATACATGTATATATTTATATGTATGTATATTTATGTGTATACAGGTATATGTATAGAAACAAGTGTATATTCTAAACATTTAAACACACACACAAATATGTATGTGTAAAGTTTATGTATATTTAGTCAGAAGTGAGAACAAATTCAGTTGAATCCTGGTTCTGGTTCTGCTGTCTTCAAACAGGCAAGTTGGCTGAAGTCTCACTGATGAAACAGAAAAGTTTACCCTGGTCGTGGAAATAGGACTACACACACATATGTTGGTATTGGTATTTAAAAGATAGATTTCCTTGCATCTTGAGAAACATAGTTATTCTGATTGTGGTGTGAAGCACCAATTAGTATGAGGTAAATTTTGGAAGCTCATCTCCAGTTTGAGTGACTCCAAATGAAAATTCTCGATGTTTAGGTGTTCATGTTAAACTTAACAGTGACTTTATTTTCTTCTGTTGTTGTTTGTTACTGGATGCAATGCTCTTGGACCAAGGTAAGTATTAAAATATGATGGTGCAATGAACAGAAAAATGAGAATTCTGGCAAGGATTTTTCTTGCAATATTAACTCTTACTATTAGGGTACAATACATATTTTGTAAAAATTTTAGTTTTTCATTGTGAGGTACCTAAGTTTTTAGGCAAGGAACCTAGTTTATTAAAAAAAGAAAAAAAATGTTGTGGCAGAATATAAGGTTTGTAACTGGAATAAAAGCTTATAGGAGAGAAATGAAAGTATTCAGAATATTTTAGAAAACTACATGAATAAATTTTCTGCTTCCAAGATACGTATTCTGGGCCATATGTTCTTCTCCAGGAGAAAGAGCAGAGGGGAAGCAGATGGGCATAAGTTTTGCCAAAAAAGGGTTCAGGGAGGATGTGTTACACACCGTGATCACCTAGTGCAAGCTAATATCCATCAGCCCTCACCAGCACTTCTGTGACACAGCTGCTGCACTGCCTGCAGCTTCTCAGTCCTGCATGCCTTGAAACATCACCAGTGTGCTCTGTAACAGACCTCTCCTCCTGGATCCAGGCAGGAGGATTTCCTGTCTGAGCCACACTGCTGAAAGACGCTGCACGCGACCTGGGAGATCACCTGGCCGTGGACACTGCCTTAGAGACATCCAGCAGGCAGATTTGCTTGTGAAATATTTTCTCAATTATATACAGAAATGAAGGCAGTTGCCTCTAAGGCTTGAGACATATGCTTAAGTAGTGTTTTCCTAAGACTAGGTAGGAGTCAACCCAGTAAGATGAAGCAGATGAATAAAGCAAAAATAATATACTGATTTTTACATTCTTTGCCTGTGACTTGCTTTCATTCGTTTGCATGTTGAATAAATGGAGAAATATAGGATGGTTAAACTTGCATGACTGCTTGCCATTCACCAAACTGTTCTTACAACTTAACAGTGCCCCATCATGCTTAAAATAAGTTAGGCTGACCCTGAGCTTTTAAGAAAATCCCCCTTTGGTCACTCCAAGCAGATTTCTCCTCAGATTTTGCAGATGAATGTGGCTGTTTCTTTAATTTCCCAAGATGTCTAAATATTTTTTTTTTAATCTTTTTATTTCCTTTTTCCCTTATCCTCTAATTTGATTCAATGTTACAGATCTTTCTTGCTACAGGGAGTTTCACATTGCACTTGTATACATGTTGTAATGATTTTCATTATTTCAATGGCCTTTTGTCTCAGTTAATGCCATTTGATGTGGTTTCTGTGGTTCTGGTATCTAGAAGTCACTGTAATACACTCATTTTCTCTATCTAGTCACCTTCAGTCTGTAAATACATATGTGAGACAAAATTACAGTTCTGCCTGTGGAAACTCAGACAGCCATAGAAACTTGGCTGAATGACATAAAGGAGAGCAAAAACCACCACAACACATTTGGCCTTAGGTAATGTAAAGCAAGATATGGTGGAATCAGTTGGATACACTTTGAAACAGACTGAGTTAGGACCTGTGACAAGGTTTTATCTGAAATGTTTAGATAACATCTCTTTTAGATTTTTCGTTTTGTATTTGGTCAAATAAGTTTCTAGTTTGTCCTGAGACAAGAGGCACAACCATCTTCTTTCCTCTGTAGGTGCAGAAAGGATAGTGGGATTTTGACAGTGGCAAGTTGAGAACCAAGTGAGGAAATATTGCCATAAGCCTCAAATTCAAATACTAGCTCCCTTTTGAAGAAATGAAACCATATGAATGTGCATAGATGTCCTATAGGTGCTTGTTCAGTCATTTAGATCCTGTGTGGCATCCAAGCAGTTGACAGGAACAGCTTGCTTTTTAATCCCTTTCACATCAAAGATTAGAAATGTGAGATAAACACTCGGATGTGGTTTTGATATGTGACTGTGTCTTGCCACTTCTTGATTCTGCTAAGAGCCCTTCTAGGTCTGATCCAAAGCTTACTGAATTAAGAGGGAGTCCTGCTTTGGATTAGGCATCTCAGGACAAATCCTGCGCCTTTCGAGGTCAGTGAAGGTTTGCCACTGACTTCACTTGCAGCAAGGTGAGACAGAGCAAGGTGACAGTGAATGAGCAGCATGTATTTTACAGGATATGCAACAATAAATAGGAGAAAACAAGAAGAAAGTGTGGCAAGAAATTAAAATTATGTTTAGCTAGTAAAAAAAGGAATATTATAGGTCAAGTACTGTTACACAGCCCAGGCACACTTTACTTTTTGAGTTTTTTTAATTTAGTAAATGCAGATGTGCACCTCATCTCAGTCACCAATTACCATATTAGAGGCTCAGCAGTTCTTGCTTAGTCCTCACCCCAGGAAAGATCTTTGTGAATTCAGTAGGCATTTCAGCTGAGGAAAACAGGATTTGCCTCCATTTCCAGTGTTCTCATTCATAAGCTTTTTAAGTAGGATTAAGATAAAGATGTCCAGAAGTCCAGCCATTTCAGACATGTACAGTGCTGTGGAATGAGAAGCAGTGCTGGGATTTACAAAGGACAGGAATTTTGCATATTTTACATCCCAGAAAAGTCCTGTAGCCTGGTCCCCAAACTACAGAATTTTGCATGAGTCTGGCATTCTTTGGTCCAGAGTAACATCTGAGTTTTTAGACCAGGCATTTATTTGTACTTATTGTGTAACCAGTAGTTTGTGAAAACTGTCTTTAAAAAAAATGTTATTTTATTTATGCTATCTGCCATCATTTAGTCATTTTATTTGCAGCTGCTGGACCTATAGCAGTCTCCTTATTGCAGCAGCAGCTCTGAACAAGTTGTCAGTTGTGTAAAAGTCCTCAACAGGTGCCAGAATGAGCATTGACTTCAGTAGATGTGAACTTCGTGCAGCTGGATTGCATCAGTGTTTGTGGTTCAGCACCTTGTTGAACTGGCATATTTAGAGAGCACCTACTGAGCCAATGCCTTTTCAGCTATGTCTGAGGTATATTGTTCTGTGCAGTGTACCCAAAAATCAAGGGAGCCTTAGTTGGGAAGGAGTGTGAATCAAACGAACCCATACGTTTAATATTTCTTTCAAAGCATTAATGCACGAGCTCTTCCTTTCATTCTTGTTTATTGGGTCCAATAGCCTGATTATTTTCTCTCAGTCTTTTAATACTGATGAAGCTCATTTGGGCTAAATCTGAAATAAATATGGAATGTTTCTAGTGAAGATGTTTTCCTGTAAATATAGAGTGAATGAAATAAGAAATAAGTGGAATATCCAGGAGTAACAAAGAGCCTATGTCTGCCTAAAGATATCTGATAGTGACTTAATCACCTTTCATCTACAGGAGTATTTTAATTACCTTATAGTAACATTATCAACAAATATCATTCATATTTTCCAACTGGTATTTTATATCCCATGTTGTCCCTTTGAATACAACTAGAATGTAATTGATTGTGATTGGTTCTACAGTTCTTTCTCGTGCAAGTAATTTTTTTTCATATGAATATTTGCATCAAGCTCAGTGTGACTACTAACTGATCAACTATAAAAGGTAGTACAATGTAATTTAAAAAATTACTAGTCAGTCACATTCTGTCCTTGAATTTTTACATAACCCCTGTTGATGTACATACACAGAAGGGTAAAATATTGGCCTTTGTGTTTCTGCAGCATGGGGTTTGCCTTATTTAAAGTGAAACCTGATAGGGTTGAAAGTGTTCTCTGTTAATTCTGTTTGTTTCACTGCACGACTGGTTTGTCCTTATTTTGTTTTGTTGATTTCTGTTTTTCTTGGGGTTAGTTTTTAGGTTTTTTTTTATTTGTGTTACAAACTGTAACATGAGTATTATTTCTTTGTAAGAAACACACTAATTTATCAGCTAACTAGTGGATTGCGGATTACAGAAGGTATAATTATCCCAAGCCTGAGTAGAAATTGTGAGAACTTTGTGTGCTGTATTGAGTAACTAATCCCTTTTGTGAACAAAATTCCTTTGAGGGGGAAAAAAAGCAGGAGCACACAAGAGGAGATTT